ATATATATATATATATATATATATATATATATATATATATATATATATGCATGATTGAGTGTGATTGTAACAGATAGCAATTCTTCTTCAATATCACCAGAATTTGGATTATTTGAACACGTAGTACGGAACAATTCACACTTCCAGTAATCAAAGTCATATAAAAAAACTGATTCACCGGGGTATATGTGAATAGGTCCTATGTGTACAATATCCATATGCTTACATGTTACGTTTTCCTGGTCTGAAAATAGAACTCTATATGAAGATTATTCCTGTCTTCTGCTGAGATTATATCACGATTCGCCTTCTTAAGTGTCTGTATTGAAACTTGCGATGATGTAATGCAATCTCACGAAATGCAATTTATTTTGGCATAATAAGTTATAAGCCACTGCGCTCTCTGTTTTAGAAAAGAAAAAGTGAAGAGCGTGAAAGGTTTTTTGATTGTCGCGTTGCTTTATTTTTTAAGAAACGCAATGAACTTTGTTTATTGTGGATAGTTAGAATATCTATTCAGGAACACTTGGGGAAGTGTTGCCATCTAAAATGGTGTAAACTTTCCGAAAAAATGTTTTACCTGTGTAGGTTATAATTTGTGTTTATTAACCTGGTAATACCCTGGAGATGTTCATTACCGATATGCATGTACGTCACTGGCAGTGAGCTTGTTGTAATAGGAAGGAATTAGATTAATAAGGTAAGTGAATTTCGCTAGATATAATCATGTTTTCTAAAAGGAAATGGTTGAAGTTATTTACCTTTTAACTGGCCTGGCTATGCAATAGAATATGCGATGTATTAAGTGTACTGACATAGGAAAGCAGCCGCTACCGGGCTCTTATTTTGCCCTGGATGGATTAAATACTTGTTATTACAGAGGCGTGTATGCATAAAAGCTTCTCCCTTTCAATAGAAATCGCACAATGCATTTGTGTTGTCAATACACAACACGGTGCGTGGAAAACAGATGTCACATTCCCCCCCGTTTCATATGTGTGTCACGTGACACGCATAAACCAATGTTTAGCCGAAAGATATGCAGTCAACACATGGTAACTCATACACGGATCAATCACGACATATTGTGAAGTATACGAGTGGTTTGACCCTGGGGGCAGACCCCATAATATCTATTTTTTCAATTGTTCTGCGTAAACTGCGGCCACCTGAAAAGAATAATAGATAATTATGGTGCTACCTTCTGTGGCATAAATTTCTCGCCCATATTATATGAACACGAATCAAGTGTTCAATTCAAATATCTCAACTTAATAGTTTTTGTTCTTGCCATTTACACCTTTACTTACGCCTTCAATGGCAAGTACATCCAATCATGTTGTAATTACTCCCAGTGTATAATTACAGCATTACTATGTGAATACACATCCCATTCAAAAGTCACAATGGATGAAATTACGTCCATTGAAGGTTTTCTAGGTATCGTCACAATCCGATTCCCGGAAACCGTAGTTTGATTTGCCGAAATTGAAAGTTGAGACTTTTAATTAAAAACGCCACATGTTAATGTGTTAATTGAAGCCAGTTGCTTCTAACGGATGACGCATGTTAAAACTAATATGCATACATTAATATAAGATTAATTTTCAGGAAATTACACAAATACATGGACGTGTAACTATTCACCAACGAATGTAATTATTTGAGAACACACGTTGAAAAATAATAGAGTCATTCAAGTATCTTTTTATTAGTAATTGTATGATTATTGCGCATTCACTTTAAGTGTAATTGTGTAATTTGGCACATAATTCTACGCGTGGACATCGTTTACACTGGTGACTATGCCGTACTTCTGTGTATATATATTATGTATAAAGTGGGTGTGCTCAAATGTTATTCTGACAAGTCTCGGAGAAATACTTTATTACCCAAATACCTTAAGCAGAAACCTTATATTTTTTTTCATCCGTATCCATATTCAAATGCGTCAACAACATATGGGATCAGATGTGTATTATACA